ACCAGGGTAATCAGATGGTTGGAATTCCCAGGCTGAGGCTGAGGCCCACATCCAAGGGCAGGAGAAGGTGACTGTCCTGGCTCAAAGGCTCAAAAAATGAGAGAATCCACACTTTCTCTGCTATTTTGTCCTAGTTAGGCCCTCAGTGGATTGCATGAGGCCTGCTCACATTGGTGAGGGTGGCTCTTCTTTACTTCAGTCAAGTGATTCAAGTCCTAATCTCTTTCTGAAACACTCTCACAGACAAACCCAGAAATAATGTTTTACCAGCGATCTGAATATCCCTTAGCCCAGTCAAGTTGGCACATCAAAATTAAGTTTCGTGATAGGAAGACATGTAGCACCAATCACCTAACAGATACACAGTTTGCTGGTTACAAGATTCCCAGGTGCTGCCCTGGGTCTGACTACAGATAAGATCTCCTCTTTGGTCTCATCCTTTTTTCCCCTCTCTCTCTAAGGGCTAACATAAGCTCTTACTAAGATGAATAGCTCATGGTGATAGTAATACATACAAGGAGCAGTGGAAATAAGTGTCCAGATTATGAAGGAAGCCCTTAAAGGACCTTGAAAGACACAATTAGGTTCTAAGGCAAAACAGTATTCAAAACTGAAATCTAAGTTTCTCTACCCCACTGACTCCCCGGCCTCCAAATATTACTAGGTCAATGAACATTTTAGACAGATGGACAAATATGTGGAAACATTAGCCTCCACTTTCACTGTTTAACATACTTAATTATTTTGTAAATGCACGAGGCAATTGATCCATGGAATTATGTTAGACAATCTACCCAGATTATTATTATTAATTATTATTATTATTATTATTATTATTATTATTGGTTCTACTCAGAACCAATGTTGTAAGATACATCTGCTTTGCCCCCAAAGATGTATTCCCACACTGGAATGGCCCATATTCACTTTTCACCTCTGTCTTCCTGAAATTCCCTCTTTGGTGGGCATGGCTGCCTTTGTGCCTGCCCAGACAGGACTCTGAAGGACCACTCCTTCTCTCAAAGGGTCAGCCCAGGTTTTCTTACTCCTCCCGCCTCATACTTGGCATCTGCCTCTCTTCAGGTGTATCCCTCCAGGAGAACGGCTTGGAAAACTATAGAGAATAAATGCCTTTGGTTGAATTAATTACCTGCCAAGACAATCTGAATTTTACATCTGGAATACCTTTTTCAGACCCATCTCTCTTACATACCACAAGGAAGAATAATTGTTTCTGAATTGTGCAAAGAGAGTAATAATGTGAGAAAAAATTTTAATTTCATAAGCAGAACATTTTGTTAATGGATGAATGTGTTCACAATCTTCTCCTCCTTCCCAAGTGGTGGTGTCTTCTGTTTTCCTTTAGCACCTTTTTTTTTTTTTTTTACTACAGTTAATCCTATGTATCGTAAGTGAATTGGCCCCAGCCCACTGACAATAAGTTATTAAATACATTTTTTTAAAAAACTTTCATACGTAATTTTTAAAGGCATGTTGAATCTTGGTTTCCTCTTTGAAAATTCTACTCCTCCCTTCTCTCCTCCCCATCTCACTGATGCCTTTTCTATACTACATCAAAGGCTGCCTTTTTTAAAAAATTTTTTTTAATGTTTTATTTTATTTCTAGGAGAGAGAGAGAGAGAGAGAGAGACAGCATGAGCAGGGGAGGGTCAGAAAGAGAGGGAATCACAGACTCTGAAACAGGCTCCAGGCTCTGAGCTGGCAGTCAGCACAGAGCCCGACGCGGGGCTCAAACCCAGGAACCACGAGATCATGCCCTAAGAGAAAGTCGGATGCTTAACCAACTAAGCCACCCAGGAGCCCCCCAGGCTGCCTTTTTATTTACCTCCTTCCTCAAGAGAAGGGCAACCCCTCCTTACCGGAACTCATACTAAATTTCTTCTTAGATCCTCAAAAAAGAAATGGATCAAATTCACTTACAGATGTTTCCCAAAGCACCTTACTTCCCAAAGAAAACTGTTTAATAAACCCACAACCAAAATCCTGACGGTATACACTTTAGTCCTTCTCAAGGTTTGTCTGCACACTGATGGATTTCTTGCAAATGATGTCTTATTATACTCTCTTCCCACTTGCTATATTATTTCAAAAGAACTCATCTATTTCAAAAGATAGAATGATAGCCAAAAGGACTGGATTTGAACAAAGCACAGCTGCATGTCTATCACACTCACCCAAACCCTGAATCAATGGCTTATTCTCTCTGCTAGACTTAGCTCATGCATTATTGCTAGGTGTTGGGGTGCTTTTTCCCCCCAGTTCAGGACAGCAGTTCATAATGGAAATAGCTCTGCAGAGCAACATTGATACACAGAGAAAAGCCAGACAAGGCAGGTAAAGTCTCCGCCTAAGGAAGCAGAGTACTTTTTGGCTCTTGTCTTAACTGTATAGAAAGTAGGTCAAGAAAGCTATGCGAAAAGAAAACATGTTTACATGGGTGTACGAGATGGCTACCAAGTGCAGCTCACTGCTGTAGAGGAGAGAAGAAGCATTTCCAAGTCTAAATCTTTCACTGGTCCCCCTGGAAGCTGTCAGATGACCAAGAACCAGGAAGATGCAGAAGGAAAAGATTCTTCTGTTCTGCCGAGGAAAGAGAAAGAATTCTAGGTACTTGCTCCAGATTTGGAAACAAGCATTCAATACAGGGGGACAAAGGCATCTCAGTTTGCAACAGTGATTCATTCTCTCTCACTCTCCCTCCCCACCTCCCCATCAATGGGGGCTGTATACAGTTTCCCTGCCCTCCATCTGAGAAATCCCTTAAAGGTAAGTCACTACCTTCGACAATATAGTTACCTGGACAACTGAGGTATGGAAAACAGAGTTGAAGTTCAGATAAAGTTCGAACAGAGGTCCCCATTGTTCACTCATTTAGTGTCCACCAGAGTGCACGCAGCAGTTCAGATTACATACAGATTTCCATTCTAAATAAGCCCCTAATTAAAAATAAAACCCTCTTTCCACCTGCTCATAACTCTCACAAACACTTTTTTCCCTTTGGGCTCAACCTTCTCAAGCTTGGTCTGTGCCCAACCTGTAGATTACCCTGGAAATGCTGAAGAGCTTTGGGATAGGGTGAGAGAAGGAAAATGTGCTTCTTTTTTCAATGTGATTCCTTTTTTTAAAAATCAGGCTTTGAAAATCGGTAAGGTGAACATAATTTCAGACGCCTGCTTGTACACTTTGAATGTGACCGATTCAAAAGAACAGTTTTGGGGCACCTGGGTGGCTCAGTCAGTTGAGCGTCCAACTTCAGCTTAGGTCATAATCTCACCACTTGTGAGTTTGAGCCCCATGTCAGGCTCTGTGCTAATAGCTCAGAGCCTGGAGCCTGCTTCAGATTCTGTGTCTCCCCCCTACCCCCGCCCCGCTTCTCTGCCCCTCCCATGATCATGCTCTGTCTCTGTCTGTCTCTCAATGATAAATAAACATTAAAAAAAATAAAAGTGGGGCACCTGGGTGTCTCAGTTGGTTAAGCGTCCAACTTCGGTTCAGGTCATGATCTCAAGGTTCGTGGGTTCAAGCCCCGCATAGGGCTCTGTGCTGACAGCTAGCTCAGAGCCTGGAGCCTGTTTCAGATTCTGTGTCTCCCTCTCTCTCTGACCCTCCCCTGCGCACTCTCTCTCTCTCTGTCTCTCTCAGAAATACATAAAACATTAAAAAAAATTTTTTTAATTAAAAAAAATAAAAGAACAGTTTAAAGAGCTGAACAAAGCTCAACCAAACAGGAAGGCTCAAAACAGAGCCTGACGCAGATTCGATCTATTACATTTGTTGATTGCAAAATGACCAGCAGGACTCACAAGTGTGAAAAGGTCATTGCCCAATCTTGCAGCGCTGCAAATTGTGTTCCATGGGGGATATAGGGCACGTGTGTGAAGACTATGGGGCAACTCAAAAAGGTATAGGGAGAAGCAGTTTTGTCCCATGCTTAGAGAGAAGACTGTCATTTATAAACCCCTGAGATTGCGGCAACACAAATTTGCACAATACCACAATGACACAGCTTGGGCAAAGAGGGGTTTCCCCTTTCCTCCTATGCAATTTGTTAACTTTCTATGCAATTTGTTAAAAATGAAACACGAAAAAGAACCTTTAAAATACAATTTCTAAAATTCTCTGCTTCACTCTCTACCCTACCTCATCCCCAGGGTAGAACAAATTAAGACAAACACTCACGGTACAGGTAACTTCATGACACATGTACACACAGAGCAACTGGCCACTAAAATATTTCCACAGCATTGCATACACCTCGTTCTCCTTTGTACTTCTCTCCTCAAGTTCAACCATGTTTACCTTTGCAGATGCTCCTCTTGGGAAAGTCCTACATATTCTGAGGATCTGGAAAGCCACCTGTTCATGCACTTAATTCAACAAACATTTGCCTCGATGACCTATGAGAGCAGTCCCACTAGGAAAGGGAGAGGACAGAGTTCCCTTAACTAAATTGCTCAGATTCTCAGGGGCCAGTGTTGGGCTCAGCATTCAATTCAGTTTTCGGAGTAAAGCAACCATGTGTGCTAGCTGGGATGGCACCATTTCAGGTGCCCCAGCCTATGCTATTGTGGACAGGACTCTCTGGAGGTGTCACTACATTCTAGCTTCCTGAAGTATGGTCCTTGGCTTGGGAATGACAATAACTAGTGACAAAGGATTTGTGCATTACCGCACTGTGACTAAAATGCCAACCCATTAAAACCAATCTTATCTTGGCCCCAAAGATTCTGAACATGGATAGACTAGAGAAGATACATCCCTCATCTCTGAAGGTTTAGGATCTACCCCTTCTATAGCATCAGCTCATCAAACATAGTCACTGTACTCTCAAAGGAATAAATTGCAAGCACAAAGCATCTTTTAGGAAAAATACTTAACCCCCACCTTGAGTTCTTGAAGTTGGCAATGCATTTATTGCATGGAGTCCCGCTTGAGGAAGATGAATGAGTTTGAATGCTGCTTCCATCACCTAGACCTACCTGGCCATTCAAAGAGGTTCCGTGGCAGACACGGTCAATGCCATAGTGAGGTGACAATCAGGACTTTTCAAGACATGCCTGCTTCTGAAAGACATTTAAAAGACATAGGTTAGAGAATTATGGATTTATAAAACCAGCGACAAAGAGTAATTGACCTCAGCAGAGTCTTTATTTATTAGTCGTTCCATCAAAGAGCTGAGTTTTGCAAGGTCTTTGTGGGAAACTGACAGTTTTTCAGTGATTGGATTGGGATAAGTCTGTGTATGTGTGGGGAAAGGTGCTCTACATAAATGTTTAAAAGATGAAATGGAGTTGATATTTATGTGTACCACATTATTTTCATTCAAACAGAAGAGATATAAGTACCAATCATCATATATAATCTTTAAGTCTTATTATTATCCATCTGCCACTTTTTTGGCAAAGTTCCCAACAGCCCTTTAGTCTGACTGTGCCTCAGTTTTGCTAAGACTTCTGCAGTTGTACACGGCAGGCTCTGCCCACTCTGAGCTTTGGTATGCATGGCATTCTACTCCATGACTTTATCCCCCACACCAGATCCCAGCCGTTCTGCAAAAACCCTTCAAGTCCACTTGTTGCAAGATGGCTTCCCTAAATGTACAAGCTTCAGCTCAAATGACAGTTACACGTGGTTCCTGCTATGTGATACAAAGGGGTTTCCCATGAAGACCCAGCAAAGCAGTATGGCCCACTCACAACATACTTCACATGTGCACTACGTGATGATGCAACACACTCTTATTGAGATAAGAGCTTAGAAGTTAAGGCATGAAATGATCCATTCTTCGGTTAGCAACTGCTGATTTACTATGTTTACCATGGAAGGAAGCATGGACAGTGAAGGACAACAGACTGAGGCTCCCTGCTTGCTTGCTGATCCCTGTTCTGGAATTAACTAGTTTTTTGACCTTGGACAGGTCACTTCCTCCCTGTGAGCCTTCATTTCTTTATTTGTCATAATATAATGATGCCTCAGTCCCTACCAGCTCCAAAATTCTATGGAGACATTCATTTGCTCATTCATTCATTCATTCATTCCAGAAGCATTTACTGAGCACCACTGGGATGTTTGCTTCTATGCTAGCATTCTGGGAATACAGCTAGGAAAAGACCACTACAGTGGTCTGATTGATTTTATGCTGCTTACAATCTAGCTGGCATCTAAGTATTGTTAGCACACACCTAACAGATAATGACTCAAAAGCAGCAACAGTTAATTTCTCACTCATGCAAAGTAGCAAACAGGAGGTTCTGTGCAACAGGAAGCTCCCCCCCACCACCAAATATTAAGTGTATTAATGCAGGGATCCAAGATTCTTCCATTTTGTGGCCCTCCCGTATTCAACACTTGGCTTTTGTGGTTGCCATGGTTATGTGCATCAAGCCACTGCAGGAGGGAAGGCAAGGTGGAGCAGGAGGCAGTGCTGCATGCAGGAGGTAGTTTGGGTCCATTGACCCCACAGTCACATGGTCTCCCCTAACTGCAGGGAAGGTGGAGAAATGTGCCCAGAAAGCCAATCAGGTGCCCAGGAAGAAGAGTTTCCATAAACAGCTAATCAGTCTCTGCCAGGACATAAGGAGAGTGGAGGAAACGAGGAAAAGAAAAGGAGATTCTACAGCAGAAGCTGGGAAGACAGAATTCACAAAATGACAAGTAGAAAGGAAGAGAAAACGGAAGCCAGAGCTACTCAAACCAACTAGAGGACTATGAGGGATTTGTGAAGGCATCTTGTGAGGCCCCAGCACGTGAAGAGCAATAAGTCAGGTGAATCTTTGGGAGGAAAAGGATCACCAGACAAATAGTAGCGGAGGACCATAGGCCTCATGAGATGAATTAATATGAATCACCTGAAAACCCATGAAATTAACCCACATGGTTTTTAGGCAAACTAAAATTTTCATAAATAAGTCTATATTTCTGGTGCAAATCAGTCTTGCAAATTAGTGACTATGAGCGATATTCTGACCTAGGCTGGATTTTATTTATTTATTCATTTATTGCCATTGGCATGATTTAAATATTGGAAAATGTCATATGAGAAATCCAGTTTCCATGTTTTCCTGAACAATGACAAGATATGGCCATAGTGTTTTTTTCATTTTGAGTAGCAATAATCAGACAACTTCAGGTAGCCACTGACCTTAGACGGGGCATGCTGTCTTCTATAGACCAAAGTCCTACAACTTACTTCATTTTGACCAAATCATTCCATGATATCAGTCATGTAGGCAATCTAATTTGCAACCCCTAACATAAAGACTTAATTTCTTACCAGCCAGAAATATAATGAGAAGGGGGCACCTGGGTGGCTCAGTTGGTTGAGCATCAGACTTCAGCTCAGGTCATGATCACATGGTTCATGGGTTCAAGCCCCATGTCAGGCTCTGTGCTGACAGCTAGCTCAGAGCCTGGAGCTTGTTTCAGATTCTGTGTCTCCCTCTTTCTCTGACCCTCCCCTGCTCATGCTGTTTCCCTCTCTCTCTCTCAGAAATAAATAAAACTTTTTTTTTAAAAAAAAGAAATATAATGAGAAGAACTAATTCGGGGACTTGGTCATTTTCAGGGTCTGACAACAGCTCTCTCAGAACACACTATACACATATATGCACACATGTGTACATATATAAGATAGAAACATGAGAACTTGCTTTGCTGGATGTTTACTTGCTTAAGTATCTTTTCTTCAATGGATTGTGAATTATTTTGAAAACAAGGCTCACAGTACCTGGTCCAATGTATACGCTCAGTTAAGACTTTTGAAAGAAATCACAGTAAATTTATAACAAAAGGAATCACCTGAAATGCATTATAATGAAAGAAATACTGAGTAAGGTGTTAAGGCAGCATCTCTGACTCAGAACAGGTTCCACCATGACCCACAGCCCAGGTGGGGACAGATATCCCTGAATGTGTCAATGTGCACCTTACACAGAAGAGAGAGAAGGAAAGAAAGTAGCAGCGCTGGAGACAAGAAGAGAGAAATGGAGGGAAAAGGGACACTAAAAAGGCCATTGGTTCAAATGACCTTCTTTGGGCCGTGTTATAACAGAACTGGTCACTCTGGAGCTACAGGGAACAAGTTGTCACAGCATCACTCTCCAGCAAGGTCCTGAGATCTAGAGAAAGGCCCAGCACCTGGAGGTTCCCAATGAGCCCAGCCAACCCCACTGCTGAAGGACTGAAGAAAACCCTCATATGCCTTACTTAATGGCTTCAGTGACCAGCATTTTCCTACACTGCAGGCATTCAATAAAGACTGGACTGGGTTGAATGGAACTGAACAGACCTGAATCAACGTCACTCAGAGCATCCTGGGTGTCCTTAGCAGGACAGGGAATCAACCCAGGCCTCCACAAGCTTTATGCAAAGGGCTGCCCCTGCCAAAGGCACCAGAACTATCAAAATCAACTGAGCACATAAACAAGTCTCATTGGGTGCTTAATTCCTGCTGTGAAGATGCCAGGGGATGAATGAGGTGCCAACAATTCTTCAGTCAACTCTCATAGTTAACCATAAAGGGAGACGGGGACGGCTGGCACAAGCTGCCCGGCCAGGCAGAGTGGGAAATGCTGGCATGGTGACTGGTAGAGGCAGACATGTCTGGGCACAAGGGTGTTAGCTTAGCCTACTAATATTTTTCTTGGACGGCAATGAAAGTCTCCTGGAAGTATCTTGCTATTCCCTCTTATGCTAACTCTTCTCTCTACCTTCCCAGTTGAGGTGGAGAGAGGCAAAGTTGTTTTCCAAACTTTTCTGGGAAAACTAGGGTTCTGGTCACTTTCAGAGACTGAAAGTAGCCTCATCCATCCACTCAATCAGCATATGTTTATTGACAACCTGCTGTGTGCTAAGTGCCAGATGCTAAGCAGTGAATAACAGAGACTTGGTAGTTTACTCTCTATTTGGAGAGAAGGGCAGTAAACAAATAGACACGTGCATCATAACTAAGTGCGATAAGTGGCTCAAAGAAAGTGAACGCAGTGCTCTGATAGAAAGTGGCAAACAGCATGGTGGTGGCTTAGTCAGAGAAAGCCTCTCAGAAGACACTGAGCCCTAAAGAAAAAGAAGGATCCAGCCACGAGAAGAAGAGCTAGGAACAACCGTTTCAGGTGAAGGGAATAGCATGAAAATTGTTTCGGTCTCTGAGAGTCCAACAGGGGACATTACTGACAGCCTGGGTCATATGTGTACAAGCGAGGGACTCACAGACTGGCCTGAAAGACATAGAAAGGAAATTAATTTGAGATCTTTTTACAGTCTCAAGTTCTGGGGTCTACATGAGGTTCTGAGACGTACATAGGAACCCCTTCAGTGAATGGCATAGAGCAAGCCAGAACCATGACCAGCTTGAAAGGAAAGGCCACAGTGCCTGCCAAGCCAGACTCATGAAACATCCAGGCTACACAAACCAGAGGATAAACATGGGTCAGAATCAGCCTTGCCAGAGGCAGCTGGGAGTAGGATCTTCTCTTTGTTCTCCACTCTCTGTATGCCAGCCAGGGACATGAGTTCAAAATGGCACCAGAAGGGTGCGTGCAGTGCCCTAGAACAAACACTCAGAGCTAGGGTAGCCAACAGGCTTGGGCCACGAGCAGAGGCACACCTATTCACAGCAGGCCTAGGCGAGAGCTTTAGGATAGGAAGTTGGTTTAATAGCCAGGTAGTTTATTATCAGGTCACAAGTTCACATAAGAAAAACACATGATTCCTAATAAAAACAGACACCCAGACAGGGAGGATATTCTTTTCACAATGGACAAGAGTCGTCTTTTTGGCCTGGCAGCCTTCAGAGACATTGTTCTCACCATTTTCTTTACGGGTCCAAGGTTGCTAAAGGGAGAGATTAATTTTTATTGCTACGATTATCTGCTAAGCAGATGCCCTCAGGCCCTGGATGTATGTTCCATTTTGTTCTGTTAGAAGTAAATAAATTTCCTAAAGGATAATATAATCTGGCCAAAGTACTACCTATGTGGTAACTGCAGGCCAATGGCGTCAGACATATTTGAAGAAGTATCCAGGAAGGCCTTTCTGAAGGTCGGGGGGTGGGGGGGGGGAGGGAGCTGCTGGACAAACCCTCAATCATGTGCTTGTTTTGTTTGGCATTTGATGAAGAGGCACTGACTCTCTGGCAAAATCTGGACACGAATTCAGCATTATTCACTTATCTAGCCTGAGCCCAGTCATGAAACTTCAACCCAGAGTTTTCAGTTCTTCCTGGTACAACAGGTTCTGTTGCAGGAGACCAGACTCCTAGCACGAGCCAGGTGACACCCTTAGATCCACTCCCTGTCACTGTAACCAGGAGTTAAATCCAATCATAATTAAACAGAAACTCTCCAGGCCTAGGTCGGAACTGACTTGGTCCAGGTTATATCTCCAACGGCTCTGAGCCTACAGGATTGTTTGCTTCTTTATTTATTTTTAAGAGTTATTTCTACGTAAGGAGACCTTTTGACAACTTTTCCATATCTCAGTCAGGGATTTCCTCCCACTTCTACTGTGTGTGTGTGTGTGTGTGTGTGTGTGTGGGTGTGTGTGGGTGTGTGTGGGTGGGTGTGTATTTAAGCCAAAGGAAATCTTACCACCCAGGTCCAGCAGTGATGAGGTTGTGAAGCATGTATCTTTCATCCATAATAAGCCTCCAAACAGACTCAGGCAGAAATTTACCAAATGTTTGGGTTGGTCCCCCTGAGGTGGTGAAAACATGATTTTTCACGAACTTTAAGAGCAGCGCAAGACTTTCCACAAAATGATAACATAGCCCCGGACACAGCATACACAACTTTTCAAGTCCCAACGTCTGTTCTCTGCAATTCTAGACAGGAATCTAATGGAGTAGAAGGAGGACTCTGCAGTAAACAGAAAAGGGCCTTGAACTCCTAACGCCTTTCCCCTGTGGCAGGCAGCAATGGAGAAGTCAGAGGCACAAGGCAAAGGCTGAATCCATCCTTTGTGTCCATAGCTAAATTAAGTGGACTCACTAAAAAAGCTGGCTCAATAAAAACATTTAGATCAGGGGCGCCTGGGTGGCTTAGTCGGTTAAGCATCCGACTTTCGCTTAGGTCATGATCTCGTGGTTCGTGGGTTCGAGCCCCGCCTCGGGCTCTGTGCTGACTGCCAGCTCAGAGCCTGGAGCCTGTTTCAGAGTCTGTCACTCCCTCTCTCTCTGACCCTCCCCTGCTCACGCTGTCTCTCTCTCCTAGAAATAAATAAAACATTAAAAAAAAAAAAAAACCATTTAGATCAAAGACCCACTCTGTCACATTTTTAAGATACTGCAAGTTATTCTCACTTACCTAACCATGCTTAACTCTGGGTAATGAGAAGGCGGTCATGGGGAAGATGGGGATGGACAGCTGACATGGCTGAAAGAGTTAAGTGACCTTTAGGTTTGAGAGGATTCGTCGTAATGGCTGCCAAGAAAAGGGCGAGCCTGTTACTCATTCCCTTTCCTTCAAAAAGTAGTTATTTTGGGGCACCTGAGTGGCTCAGTTAGCTAAGCATCCAACTCTTGATTTTGGATCAGGTCATGATCTCACAGTTGTGGAATCAAGCCCTGTGTCAGGCTCCATGCTGGTAACACAGAGCCTGCTTGGGATTCTCTTTCTCCTTCTCTCTGCCCCTCCCTTGATTGTGCTCTCACTCACACTCTTTCAGAACAAATAAATAAACATTAAAAAAAAAAAAAAGAAAGAAAGAAATAGCTCTTTCATGAGTCTCCTGCCTTTATTCACTTGATCAACAAACATTTGTTACAGGCCAGGCACTGAGCATGAACAGGACAGGATACGCAATGTCAACAACGAGGAAATTGGCCACGGTGGTTTTCAGGCAGCCCCTTGAATCAAGACTCACCACAGTTCTCTGCTTCTGACATTTCTCCCTGTCAGCCACACTAAACCAAAACCAAAGTTGGGACATCATCCTTTAGGGAGGAACCACACTATTTTCCCAACCGTGCAAGTGCGGTGAAATACACGCATAAAGAGTGGATGGTGTTTCATCACTCTGTGTGGGGGGCCTCACAGCCTTTAGCTTGCCCCTTTCCATTGTCTTGGAGGAGGGGTACTGTCTTACTCCCCTACTTTCCCTCACAGCCCCGTCACTGTCCCCATGCACCACCCACACAGGCTCTTGCCGCTCACCTCTGCATAGCCCCTCCATTTCTAAGCCTTCTTCCCATAAGCTTCGCGTCCAACTGCATTTCCTCTTTTCTGCAAAAAACCAAAGGACACGGTGATTGTGACATGTTCTGAAGAGGTTTTCTTTACCAAGAAAGTGGTGCAAACTGAGCCCCCACAAGGAAATCAGAGTGAGTCACTTAGAGCTCTTGGCTTTTGCCTTGCAGGCTATTGAACTCAAGCTCTGTAGCATCCGGCTCAAGCCCAGTTGTCCAAGCTAAGGAAAGGCCTGACAGGGTCATTCCCTAAGCATTAGATTATGCAGAAACATAAGCCAAACAGGGTCAAACCGAATCCCATGGTTTTCGTCGGTATAAATTGAGAAAATGACCAAATACTGACAGGATGAAGACTAAAGTCCATCTTATCTCATTGTACTGTAGCAGAAAAATAAATGATTCTTAGAAAAATGATCCCAACTCCTCTGCTTCAGCAAACATGAGAGAGAGGAAAAAGAACTAAACATTGGCAGCTCTCATCATTTTTGATCTAACACAAAAACTAATGACACCAATATCTACCCAATGGTACATGGGTGACTGAAAGTTTGGAAATTGAATCAGAAACAAACCAGAGTCACTGTCATAAACTTGGGAATGACTGCAGGGAAGAGAAGCAATTTGAAACTTCTGTTCCCTCCTAGCACCAGGCCTATCATGTCTTAAACACAGTCATTAGTGATAAAGCAAAAGCAAAGAAATACAGGTGGGCCCTACCAGAGAATGAGGTCTGAGCCTCACACAGCATCCTCTTTTCTACAGGGCTAGCAAAAGCTCCCCCTCTTCCATGGAGTCCTCAAGGACTTCACCTACTCATACTTCTTATTAAGAATTTTCTAGAGCATATATATTTTTTTATGCCTCACAAGATGGAAAATTTTCAGATTTTCTTTGACATTGGTCTCTACTTGTGTCAGGTATATTTTCCTCTATCTCATGACTTAAAATAAGCAATCTATACCACCACCATTATCATCATCATCATCATCATCATAATATTATTATTATTTATTATTTTACTCTCCCACATAATCTAGTTCGGAGCTGAACATATCAAAAGCCCCTAGTGTTTTTTCGGTAGATAATTTTGATAAGAGTTTTCTAAAGAGAGCCACCATGCCTGGAAGAACAAAGATGGTTGATGGCTTATTTCCATTAAGTGAGGAGGGGTGGCGGGGGGGACTTGGTTAAATACATCTGCTTGGACTAAGTTTTCTTTCAAGTTGAAGCCTCGAATAACATATCAAACCTGGTATTTCTTGATCTTCTTCTTCTATCTCTTCTGTCACTCACCCGTTACCAAGGCCCATAGTCCAAGCAGGTGACATGCACAACAAAAGAACATCCAATAGTGAAAATTCCATTCCTGTCAAGCTCATAGATGCAAACATCAAAACATAAATGGTTTGTCCATTTTCCCCCAAAGCTGGAGTCCATTTTATAAATCTCAAGTATGAACACTGGCCCTTAGGGGGCAAACTGGATCAGCCTCATTCAAATAAAACTTCACCTTTTGGACACACGGCAGGGCTACTGAGTGGCCTGTGAGCAAGGTTGATTTTCTCATGCACATTTGCCTCAGCAGGAAAGGTTTGGTTCTTTGCTAAGGAGGCAAGAAAGGTTATTTATGCTAGAATTTATGACAGGGATTCTAATCAGTGAGGTCTGACATACAGACAGTGATCAAGTATCTCATTTGCCTGAGATTGGTGAGGTTTCCTGAGACTCAGAAACTTCCATGCTAAAACCAGGCAATTCCTCAGCAATCTGGGACTAGATACTGCCCAGATTCCAAAAGTCAACCTTCTCAGCTTCTAGACCTACTTATCCCAATTCACCTCACCTGGTGGTTATGTGGAAAGCCAGTGACCACAGGTGCCCAGAGAATTCTTGGATTCCCAAGCCTGTTTCCTTGGGATTGCTGTTAGTACATGCTCCTGGCCCATTTGCTCTCTTGAGTCTATCCTTGGGCAATCTATCATTGCCTGGGGCTTCCTTTCGTCTTCATACACTTGACCCCCAAATGTGAAGCTCAGTCCTGACCTTCACCCTCAGCTTGTCTTCCACTGTAAGTGTCTTCATCCTCCATCCTGTTGGCTACTTAAGTTCAACAAAAACTACACTAAACTCAATGGGACCTCTTCACCTAGTTTTGTTTGTTTCTTTGGCATCTCATATTTATGAAAATGGCTTTGCCATTCTTCCAGACTTCTAGCTAGACTTCCGACTTCCCTTTTTTCATGGCCTCCTTCTCCCAGGCTGCCTCCCAAGACCAATTGTGTTCCAAAGCTTGTGAGTCATCAGTTCTCCAACCAACAACCACCTTTTAGGCCCTTCACTTGCCGCGGCTCCAACCAGTAGAATTATCTCCCCTTGCCCTACTTTTTTCTCCCCTCCCACCCTGAACCCACCCAGTGCACTAGTTACAACTCTGATCACGTCACTCCTCCCCTAAACACTTAGAACAGTCTCTCCTTCATCATAACATGTCCAACCCCACACAGCCTTTGAACCCCAAATGGTACCTTCCCCAGGAACCATCATGTGCCCCTATAGAAAATAATGTCTCTTGTGTCTTAACTCCTTGGGCACATGAATCTTCCATATTCAATATGATAATCTTTATGCGTTATCATCTTCCCTTTTAAACCAAAGGCCCTAAGAGCAAAATTTTTAATTCGTTCACCATTTTATCCCCACTTACAATAACAAATAAATAGATAAATAAGATCCAAGTAAGGTTTGTCTGGAGGCTTACTCGTGAATGCTGTTGTTTGACTTCCAAATGCTTCCTCTATATCCCTGTGTCTTCTGACCACTTCTCCTCACGCAAGTCACCAGTAGGTAAAGCCTTGAGAGTTGAAGGCAGCCACTCCTTTGCCTTACCAGAAGCTTTATCGCCGTAGGATTCCTAGCTGTCATGGCAGGCCAGTTAAGGGGGCTTTACCCCCATGGAATTGTGAAATTGAGAATCCTTTGAGGTGTAACCAGAATTCTTTCCCTGCGCTCCATCCTCACCTTCATAATGAGCATACTTTTCCAACAGAGGCTGAACAGTGCACTTTATTTTGCCCTCTCTTCCATATCCCCTGGGTTGCTATGGCTCTGAGTTTGCCTGTTTCCTGACCCAAGAAAGAAACAAAGAAATGTGTTAAACTGGCTCAACATTTAATTATTTTATATAGAGAAATAAGGGTGTTGGCCTATGGCATTGCTGTCTGAAGGAGGCATTTTTCCTGATTCCTGTCAACTCATCCATCCATCATGGAGTAAACATTCAGAGGTTCAGAGGAGGGTAGAATCTGAACTTGTCCTTGGCCCCCTTTATCTTTTTCCCCCTCATTCCCCTCTCCCCTCCAATCCCTCCAATTGCAGCATTTTCTGGTTTGCATCCAAGGCCTCAAAACCCAGACATTATAGAGATGGCATGCATAGTTAGAAGAAATACTGAGAAGCTCCCAGGACCCTTTAAATAGGAAACAGAGCCACAGCCCTTGCCACACCTACAGGGCCAGCTGAGTCCCAGTCTGCTGCCGCATCCGCATCTCCTTTGCAGTAATCATACACTCCACTCAATAAATGTTTATCAAGCACTTACCATGTCACTGCTCTGTGGTTACTGGGAACAAAAGAGAGTGACATTCACAGCAGTCAGGAATGAGTGAGACAGGGCCATGATGAGGGCACCAGCCAGAGTGTTGGACTAGAGTTTTGAGGGGTACTGTTGTTGCTAAATTATTCCATTTGTTGCTAGATTATGGGGACATCCAAGGCGCCTCAGGTGAGCGGCCAGGGCAGCCTGGGCAGAGTGGGGGAAAGGTGAGAAGGCATTCAGGGGCTCTAGGGGCCGGTTTTTTGTCTACTGGTGTGGAATTATTCCACCAGTTTAATAACTGGTTGGGCCATGCCAATGTAGGCTGCTGAATGTGAGTCTTTGATATTGTAATGTGCAAAATAGAAGGAGGCCTTGTACCTCATGTGTCCTATAGTGCATTGCAGGAGATGGATGGTGCTGTGATCTGAATTTGTATCATCCCTGAATTCATACACTGGTCCTAACCCCCAAAGTTTCTGGTATTAGTATGTGAGGCCTCTGGAAGATGATCAGGTCATGAGAGTAGAACCCTCACTGATGGGATTAGTGCTCCTATACAAGTGACCTTATAGAATCTTTTGCCATGTGAGGACACAGCAGGAAGTGTCTGACTAGGAAGAAGGCCCTCACTAAAATCTGCCCAGGCTGCCATGCTGATCTTGGACTTCTAGTCTAGAACTGTAAGCAATAAATGTTTGTTGTTTATAAGCAACCTGGTCTGTGATATTGTTACGGCAGCCCAAACAGACTAAGACAGACAGTAATAAAATACTCCTACAAAAAGTGTAAGATTCTACTTGGGTTAAAACTGACCAAATATAAAATTGTGACTGTAAGTAACATTACAAAGATAGGTACTCAATACACTGAGAGCATGCAATAGTAGAATTTGATCATTTCAGATTAATCACGGAAGGCCTCTCTGAGGAAGTGAGGTCTAGGCTAGGATCTGAAGTATAATTAGTACATCAATGAGGGAATAAAAGGACGTTCTGAACAGGACAACATGTGCAGAAGTCTTGTGGCAAGGAAATGGGAAGAAGGCAGATGTGGGTAGAGGAAAGAGAGGAAAAGGGAGTAAATGAAGAGGAAGAAGAAAGGTGTATAGGGGCCAATGTGGGGCCTTGGGTTCTATCTATCCCAAGAACAATGGCATGTCCTACGTGAGTTAAAGCAGTGGGGTGGCATTATCAGATTAACACTTTCGTGTTGACTGCTGCCTGGAAAATGGCTGGGTCCGGAGGAGGAGGTTGGTGGCAGACACCTCACTACTTGATACCAAGGACACCTAAGGTCCTATGTGTGCAGTGTTTTCCTCAGGGCTCTCATCTCTCATCCTAGGAAGAAAGGACTCATTTCCACACGGCAAGGCTCTGACAGGTTTCTCATGTCAATGAAAATAAAGGGGTTATGCAGCAGAGAGAAAAGCACACAGGGATTTAAAAAAGACATGCTCTCGACTTCTTCCTTAGTCATTATAAACTATAATCTGTTTAGCTCACACCCTGACAGCCAAGTACCTGACTAAACATTGCCATTCATTGCCTCCTCAATGTTCAGAATGACTCAGCGAGGGAGGTATTATCATCTCCATTTTACACACGAGAGCATCAACACTCAGAGGGGTAACTTGCCAAGGAATCAATAGGATTGAAGCCCAGGACTTTCTGACTGCTGCACTTTGGCTTTTAACCCAGTAATGGTTATTAAATGTGAACACGTGGTTGGGTCCATGATAGACGCCGGCCTTTGGAGCTTAGTGACGCCATCTTGCCCAGCAGGCATAGAGTCTAATGGAGGAGAGGGCCACACATCTATGTAACTGGAGTATAATACAACGTGACATGGGCTTGGACAGCACACATTAAAGCCTTACGTGATATTTTTCTTCATGAAGGAGCAGTGATTTTCTGTTTAGTATTGTAGTCAGCTCAGCATCCCTATGAGGCTAATTTTACTGAATGACTTAACGTGTGCCAGACATTGTGCTAAGTGCTTGAAATATGTTCATTTAACATAATCCTCAAAGCTACATCACCAGGAAGCTAGCAATACTGTCCGCAGTTCACAGATGAGAAAGTGAGGCTCACATCAGTCAAAAAAATTCCTCAGGATCACAAAGAACACAGGTAGGACAAATAACTCTCTGTGGAGAACCAACTAATACCAAAGAGTGGTAACTTTAAATCTGCATGAAACAGGAGATGTGCTCTGAAATGGAAAACCAACCCCAAGCTGATGCAAGACGCAGCATGTTAAAACTAACCATAAACACCCCAGCCACAGGAGCCTGACTGCAAAACAGGTTAGCCTCCCAGAGTCAGGATCTACGGGCAAACTGTTCCTACTTCTTGGAGTTGTTTTGACATTGAAATGTGAAAGTTTTTAAATTAAGGAGGGGAGCAGAGGCTCCAAGGAATGTTAAAATAATCCGTGGCAAAACAGAGAAAGTTTAATATTCATTAAGGGGTTTTCATTTCAAATGATCGTTTTACCATACTGACATCTAAATTGGGGAGCAGGGAGAAGAGGAAGAAACTCTTACTTAATCCCTTTCCTGAATTTGTCACAGAGAACGCACAGCAGAGGTCCCTGGGGGTTTCAAGCTCCTCCTGTGAAAGCTGGGGTCTGTGGCTGCCCAGACCCTCCCCAGGTCTTCCTGGCTGCTCATCCACACCCGAGGGCCAATCCGGCTTTGCCAAGAATCAGCACGCCAACCAATACGGTCTCTAGCACTTACTTAGGGAGACTGTGCATAGATCTTCTCCCAGAGGCAGAGCTTTGCCTGGATTATATCTTCATTATTTCATCTTTAAATCCAAAGAACAAATGTTGGACTCCAGAATCCTAGGAAATATCTGAAACCCAACCCAGCAAATCTCCATAAATTAAGTAATGTTCAGCCTCAAATAGAAGTTGTCATTTCCAAAAGTCAGAAGGGTGTGTATGTCTAGGGAGCAGTCTGGAATGAATGCTCTGTGCTCTGACTTCCAGGATCTACCTTGCTAGCCAGGGCTCCTTCAGCTCCCTGGGGGTTGGGGTGAGAT